TAGTTGTATTTTGGAGTTTTTGTTGACCTCTCTCTTTTACTGTGACTCTTTTATTGTGGTGTTGTCAGAGAGCTGTAATTCAAGTTGCTGTGAGGATTTGCAGCTGGTTTTCAGAACAATGGAGGACAGTGAAACACAACCAATGGGAATTGACTTTCTTTCCACCAGGAGTGGAGAAATATCAGGTACAGCGGGTAATGCACTCATGCAAACTTTGGCATATTTTGACGACAACTCTTTCGGGCAGGGAAAGCTCTGCCTGTTAATATGTTACTCTCCAACACACACAACTCGATTTCATACACGATTGATACAGCAGATCCCTGTTACAGCCAAACTTTCCTGGCACTGAGTATGCAGGTTTCTCAAAAGAGATTATACAGTATCACTCCAAAACAAACTTCCACACTGGTCCTGTTTATGCACATGCTGTGCTCAAACACATGCAGGTGTGGAAATTGGTCCAAGAATATGTCCTCTCATCACTTTCTTTGCCAAGAAACACTGCACTAATCTGATTATGCTGAGGCACACACAGACATTCTCTCTCATTCATATACTTGCAAAACAGACACTTGAGAAGCAGGAAGATAATCTGTTTTTCACTGTGACATATCTTATGCCCCCCCCAGTGTCAAATAGTTCCTAAAGCTGGTATACTTATTTTCTCCTCTTACATTAACTGTAAATAAATGCATTTGTATGAGGGAATGCCATCCCTCCGTTTTCTTATTTCTGCTCTGTCAAACTCATTACACCCCCTTGTGTTATGTATTTCTCTCAAATTAAACCTACTCCCTAATTATACAGGTTTATAGTTTTATTTATGTTAACATTATTTTTCTCCAAGTTCCTTCATTTTAAGTTTTAGCTCTGAAGCACAGATTAAGAGAATATATATTGGGATATTTTATTTGGGATTTTTTTCACAAAATCAATTATTTTATGACCTGTTTTTTTCTTCTTTAAATAAAAAAAATGGTACCAGTGATAGTAAGTATAAATTATTTGGAAAGTGGACTTCAGTTTCCTGTTTCAGTATGCTGTCTCATCAGTGATGTGGCTCAATGTGCTGTTTGACAGCACACTATAAAACGCTTCACACCGAAACATCTGTGCTTATTCTCCCTTGTGCCATTAAGGAATGCCTAAAATAGCTGTTCGCTTTGGAGCCCATTAGAAACACACAAATCTTTTCAGCATTTCATTTGTGTTTCTTTTTTTCCTTTTTCACCTGACACTCAAACATCATTTTCGTGTGAGAAATCATAATATTAGTGTAAGCTATATAGCTGTCTGCATCTTAATACGGCTTTGATTTATACACCACATACACACATTCGTTTTTATTCAATGCAGCTTAAACCTGGCCAATGAATTGATCATGAACGGGAAATTTAGTTTAATTTTGAAGTAAACTGAAGTAATCCAGTCTAGAAGTGCGAGTGTGTCCACATGGGTTTGCGGCACTGCACTGCATGCATCATTCCTCTCATGCTGTTTAGTTTGACAGTGCAGGTGGTTGTGAGGCACTAAGTGGAGGTTCTGTACCAGCTTAAAGACGGAGCCACAGAGAGGGAGGAGAGAGGGCTGCGGAGACAATGGAAGATTGAAAGACTCAGAGATTTAACACTGGGGCTGAAACTGGTTAGACAGCAAGCAGCATGTGCAATCAGTGTGGTGCAGACACACACATACACACCCACACCATCACAGCTTCTCAGTAGGGACCTCGATGTAATTTACAGTGAGCAGGTGGGGATGGATGTTCAATCTGATTCAATTTGATGTGGCTCGCAGTGGAGTGGGATGAGACACCAGTCATTCGACCGACTGTTGTGATCATTTTTGTGTCTCCCACCTTCTTGCCTTGAATCTAGAGCAGCATTCTCCCTACATTGTTCCTTTCTTCTTCTACATCTCTTATCACTTTCTTCCACGCACCTCTGAATGTGTTTTTTCATGAGATACACCCTATTCGACCTGACCTTATGACCATATGTATAAATCCAGACAAGTTGTAATGATGTCTAAAGTTTAACAGACCTGAAAAAGGCACAAATGCTACATTTCAAATATATAAAGTGTGGAACTTTTGGTGGTACTATTTGTCAAATTTCTTATTTGAGATTTTATGTGAGATTTCAGTTGCTTAAATTTTGAAAAGGCTTTTTTGCATTTCTTAGTTCAAGGACACATACAGTAAGGTGTCCTTAATTGGCAGCTAACACTCAGCAGATACATCATAGCCTATCTACACTGGTTTCCAGCCTTGTTAGTGGACACAGTATTTCTCTTCTGATTCTTGAAATGTTTTCATGGTATTTCAGCAAGTGTTCGGTGTAACTTCCAAATTCTTTGCAATTTTACCCCCTGACAGTTGTTTAACTTTGGGAAAAAACAACGGGGTTGTGTCTTTTATGTGATTTAATAAGCGTCTCTCATATTTCATCATATAGTTATTCATTTATCAATGTTTTACGTGTCTCATTTTTCACAACCAGTGTCTAACAATTGTCCTGACAATTCCAAACAAAATCCATCTAATTGACTGAGGGTCTTCCTCTGTGCCCATCTCTCCCTCTGTCTGCTGCCCTGCCTTATCTCAAAATGAATTCAGAATTTTGCCTGCCCCGTCGTCCTTTTTCCCAAGCAACCCAAGAGATCATGGAGATCTGTAAGGTGGACGAGATGGGTTGCGAGGACCCTGATGTGGACATGGACACAACTGCACACATGCTACAGGGTCTGGAGCAAGAACTAAAAGACATGTCAAAGGGTAAAGACATACACAGGCAGTGCTCATGCAGATAGGGCTGTGACCTGTCATTTGCAAATATGATTAAAGGGAAATTACTTTAATAAAAAGCTCTAATCATAAATCTAATGAATGTCTATCTTTGATACAGAGAATCTTGATCTGGTGCTGGATATGGGAGATGGTGAGAATGACAATGGGAGACATCATTTCATGAGGTGAGTAACCCAAAATCGGAGCACAAAATACTGTTGCAGTAGAATTAAACAACTGTGTCTGATTGGCTTCTGGCTGCTTGAAACTACTATCCCACTTTGTGGAATAGAATAATAAATAATAAAATAAATAATAATAAAATCCTCATCTGACAGGGATTTAGAATTAGAAATGTATTTGCATTAACACAATCACCATCACATAGAACAAGAATGTTATTTGGCATATCTGTTTTTGAAGATCCGGGAATCTCCTCGTCACAAGTGAAGCTCAATTATTAAACAATAGTGGCTGGGCCATCTTTATGAGACAAAGACTGAAACAAATGAAAGGCTTCATATGCAGGACATACACATGTCCTTTATAACTTCAAGTTGCCGTCTTTGTAAGCGGCTTTTAGCTCAGTTGCAATTTCATATCCTGAAAGGCGCATTCATGCCTCTGCCCTTTGAGAATCTGAGCATGTAGCCATGTCAATTCCCATTTTCATTCTGTCTTTTCAACATGATCAGCATGTAATCCATTGCTTTTTCACCGCCAAAATTTCCTGACTCTTCCCTACAATTTTAGTTGTCACAATGGGGGGTAATCCCTCTTTTTTGTGCTCCATCAATCCCTCTCTCCGTCAGATATAGGGAGTTTGTAATGGATCGTTAGCCAGCACAATGACTTTAGCTTTGACAGCATGTTGAGTTTCAGACCTTCATATGATGTTTAATGTGTATAAGTGTGAGAAAAGAATGAGACAGAGTGCGTCGATGTGGTTTTCAGAAACTGAGCGTGTGGGTTTATATTATATCATGTCTATTTGATATTTTGACTGTGTGCATGTAACAAGTATAATCTGCGCCAGAGGCCTTGTGCTGAGAAAGGCTCTGTGAATTAAAATTTTAACATGTAATAAACAGATTTAGAAATACAACAGTGTCAGCTCCCAAAACAGCATCTTTCATACTACTTTACACAAACACACAAATATATCAAATATTTCTTTAGTAAAATCTGCAAAGTGATTGAAATGGAATCACATCATAACCTGCTAATTGCTTGTTGTATACATAGTATGTGCTTTCTGTGAGCAGCAGATTTTGTCTTGTAGGCTTGGTGTAAGTGAGGAACAAAAAGCCGAGGAGGAAGCAGCAGAGAGAGACCGACAGAGTGTCCTTCTACTACCCTGAGACATAAATGCAAACATGGAATCACGACTAATGCAAGATGCAAGTCACTCAAGTCAGGAACAGATGCAAACTCCACTCTGCTCCAGATGCCTTATTACTTCTCAGAACAAGTTGTTTCCAAACTCCTCGTATGCAAAAGGATGAAAAAATAATCGCAATGTTTTTAAACCCCTCTGTGAAAACAGAATAAAGCTGTTTTGATTAACAATTATTATTTTATTGAATGCCTTAATAGTTTCTGAGAACTCTTTTAACATTCAGAAATGGTAGTGGTGAGATGCAAGCTTGTAGATGGATTAGTTGAAGGTAGAAAACAAGTTGGAAGGCAAAGGATGAAGATGGGAGGGGAGGGGAGGTGTTGTGAAGACAAATGGTGACTGTTTTTATTCTCAACAGGAAACTCCTTGGACCCCCTTTGACGGTGTGGTTTTGCATGTTTGCTCTTATGAGACTCGAGTTAAAAGTCAGACACTGAGGTACAAATAACTGTGGTGCCAATTTTACCCGCAGGGGTAACTCTGTTGTCACCAGTTTGTTTCTTAATAAGGTTAGGGATGGCACTGGATCGGGGCACAGTCTGCACACGCACACACACGGAGGAGAATCCTGCTGGTGCTAAATTATGTTTGTAAGGGAGGGAAAAGGAACAGTGCCAGTATTCGCTGTTGTCATTTCTGTGTGTACAGGAGTAAAGACAGATAAGCACCAGGCACTGGAACTTGTTTGTTACCTCTGTGGTGAATGTGCAGATGTTTTTGTTGGTGTGTGTTAGTGTGTATGCTCCCCAGTTCTGCTGTTTTCCATTATCCTCCGCAGCCGGTCCTAATCTGTCATGGCCACTACTGTCCTCAGCTGAGATCACACCCCAACATCTTCTACTTTATCTCCAGCTGATATACATTTGAGGATCAAACAAGAGCAAACAGGTAGAAAATCACACCTGTATCACACCACCGTACACATTGAAAATGGAATTCAATAGATGTTAACTTTGTGATGCAATTTTCGATTAGGGGTTATTCTGTGAACTGCATATTTTGTGTCTAAGCGTGCTAGTGATTGACTGTGGCCATACTCTTTACTCAGTTAATGTGGAGGGATATAAGGGCATTTTATTTGTCCCAGCGTTAATCGCTAGGAGCAGACAGCAAAAGCCCTGTAATCCAACAGCAATTACCACAAGACTGATTGATAGCATGGGGACAGAGAGAGAGAGAGACAGAGAGACCAAGAGATAGAAAAGAAGAGCGGGAGGGAGAGGTGAAAAGGTAGATCTTTGTTATTGTGTCCTTCACTGAGTTTATCACTTAATGTTTAGGAGAGGAAAATAACAGAGACATAAATCTGATGGGTATCGAACCACTAGTCTGAGTTGAAACAACTCAGAGATCTGGCTGTCATTCTGCTCTCTCTCTCTCTCTCTCTCTCTTTTGCTCTCTCTCTCTCTCTCTCTCTCTCTCTCTCTTTCTCTCTTTCTCTCTCTCTCTTTTTCTCTCTCGCTCTCTCAGACACACGCAGACATACATGCTTACACACACACATGCATGCATACAAACAGAGAAAGAGAACAGACTAGATGACCTTTGTTAGATTTTGAGCCAATTGTGATGTTGTTGATGCTGTCAGAAAGACAGTGAAAATGAAGAAGTTGACATTTCACTCCACTATACTAACTGACCCTTCTTCTGTGCTGGAGTTCAAACTGAATGTGTTGCAAAACACGGGCATCTCCAGCACACCCGGTTATATAACAAGTTTCATCACTCATGGATAACTTCTAAAAAACTGTCTTTTGATTGACATCATGTCAATTAAAAGTTTGAATACACCAGACATCACAAATGACAGGGTTGGCAAATATAATGGACATATATGGTTTTCCTACTTCCCAACTCTCAATAACTGTTTTTTTAACCGTGCTTTCAGAATTTTATTTTTAAGATATAGTTTTCTTCTGTCTGTCTGTCGGATGCATGCCCACTGGTTTTCATAGGGAAACTTATTACATTTTCCTCAACCAAAATGCCCCAAAAGAACCCCTTTTTTTGTGTTACAAGTAATCTACAATGAGCTGCAAGGCACAGCAGCAGCATATTTGTGCAACAAGAGTTCACATCTAGTCCGTGAAACCGAAAATACGACAGCCCTTATAGAATACAGTTTTTTTCCCCCGTTGTTATTTTACCAGATATCTAACTTGAAACAGCAAAGAGGACATTTTACTAACAATGAAAAAATGCGTAAATTAAAACTTTGCTCAAGGTTAGATTTGGAATGTGATTTAAGCAAAAAAATTACTCAACAAACTCTCCAAGGAAGTATTTTTTTCAACAACATACTCCCACATCCTCCAGAGTTCCTTTTCATGGCTGTCAATTAATTTGATTGCAAACTGGAGAAAAAAGGAAAACGGATACCTGAAAATGTTTAGCTTTTTTTAGTTTAATTAAATTCTATCAAGAGTTTGACTGATTTTTGTTTACTTATATTGTGTTATATAATTGAACCGTGTCTCGCTTTTGGGCATCAACCATGTTATTTCCCAGAGTAAACTGCTTGAAGCATACTTTCTCTGATTAAACCATAACAAATCAACCACCATCAGTTTGGGCAAACTTTTTTGACTAACTTCACAGTCAAAATACTTGTGTCTGTCCTTTTCTGAGCTTTCAGTAATTCCTGCACAGCTGTGTCTTAGCTCATTGAAAGACACGTACACATATTTTTCAATACTTGCTTTATTTTTGTATTTCTTTGGCAAATATCATCGAACATTTGCTGTGTATGACATAAATCCGTTTAAAAGCCTGAAAAGGTAACAAACCAAAAATCAGCTGTGCAGCACCAACATTGAGTAGCGGTAAGTAAATCAGATTGTTTTGATGGGTTGTTAGATTGTCATCTCAGCAAATGAAGAGGGCTTGTGTGCCACCTGTGCCTGATCATATCAAAGCATATTTCTTCCTTGCAGATTATTTTAATTAAATTGAACTGTGTGTTTGTCGTGCTGTCACTTCAATCGCATATTTAGGATAGATTTCAATAAGACTATGTCTTTCATGGTTACTAATGTCTCTGGTATTTTGTTTAGGTTTCATGGTTATGCAGGAGACATCCATGCTTGACCCTAACGGTGCACTAAAAACTAAGCAGAGATTATATACTACTAACTAACTACCATACTTTTTATGGTCACTGTAATTGAACATGTCGTCAAGTATTCACACTCCATCATAGCAGCATGAATGAATAGATTCTTTCCTTTTGTGGTTGTCGGGTCAAAGGTATATTCGGAGTGAACGTGGACGTCTAATCATGCCCCATGTTGTCTGTTGGAGCCCTGTTGCTTCATTAAAGGAGAAGGAAATATGGTCTTGTCTGTCATTGCGAAAGAAAAAAAAGAAGCCTCATAGCAACTTAGTTTGTGCTGTCTGCTGTTCTCGTCTACCTTATTATTCCTAGGATGTGAATAGTTCCAGTGTAATACTGCTGTGGGATGGCTGTGCCGGCAGAGTGAAAGATAATAATGGCATGTTGTTGTTTTTTTCCCCATTTGAAAATCAAATTCATGAACTGAAGTTACCTTTGAGGATAGATAGATGGTTAGAATTCAGTTTGCACCCAGCTCAAATCCCTGTTCCATGGACAGCATTATTTCTCCATAACCATGCTGCCTTTATGCTTTCATGTGTTACTGCCCACCTAGCTTTTACTCAGGTGTGGCTCGGTATAACTTTCAAGGTTACAGCCTCATCTATGCTTAAATGACCCCATACGCTGGAGATGGAAGTACTGTATGCCCTGGATAGAAAGTTTAGGCGG